GTTGGATGCTTTCCTCCAGGTGTGTGTGTTCAACCAGGAGCAACTCTTGTCTTTGAATCTCTGAAGACACAAGCCGTATCCATGTTAATGTCTTCTGGTATCTAGTTCTTTGCATTGCTTCCTTTCATTTTTACATTATCAGACCCATTTTCAGACTCCCTATTTTTCCTGTTTCCTGTTTGATTTCTCCCTTCTGATGTATCCCTTTTAATCATTATACTTGGACAGTACCAGATGCTCCAAATTTACTTGGCTTTTTATACTATCAAAACTTCCAGTTGCCTAAATAGTTACTTACATATGAGTTAGCTACTACTCCCAAAAAGTGATCAGAAAAAATCATTTACATAACCATGTGAAAGACTTGTCATTTCTTATTGTCTGATCTTTGAGGAAATTAGTATATTATTCCCCAGATTTATTGCTTGGTTGCATGGGAAAATTCTAGCAACCAAATTAGGGAATACATGAGGTATATTGCCAAGTTTTTTGTGAAAGGATAATGAATTCTTCCACAAAGTTTACATTTTATATATAGACTGTGGTCATTATTGGCTCCAATCTTTCTGAAAAGGACTAGTCAGCAATTGTTTAGAGAGCCTTCCTTCTTCCTTTGCTTCTCTTCCACCAGTCTGTCCATTTATTCATCATCCTTCCCTCTCTCCATCCACCCATCTACCCATCCATTTACTCACCTCTCCAACATTGATTGGTGGCACAGCCTGTGATGGGAATGGTACTGGAGGGGCCTGGGGGCATAGAAGAATATAAAAGACTCAGACCTTTCCCTGATGAAATGTATAGTTTACGCAAGTTTCTCAACCTTGGCATATTTGGGGCTGGGTAATTCTTTGCTTGGGGGCTATTTCGTTATTCTGTGTATGGTAGGATGTTTAGCAGCATCCCTGGCCTCTACCCAGTAGATATTGTAACAACCTTGTTCTCCCTCCCCTCTGCATCCTACAGCAGCTGTGACAACCAAAAATGTTTTCAGACATTGCTAAATATCCCCTTTGGGGAAGTTTAAAGCATCCTGGGTGAGCACATCAGTTTAACGAGAGAGATTTAAAAGGGCATAATTTCCTTGCATTTGATAAGTCCTTCAATAAAAGTGTACACTTTGGGGATGTATTTTGGATATATTCTCTCTTTGCTCCCACTTATGGTCATTACTAATATACTTCTGCAAAGTAGTTCTTAATTCAATCTAAAAAGAAGATCTTATATTTCAGGAAATTACTCACTGTAACGCATGATCAACTTCTTTTCCTTTATAGTGACTTTCATTATTCCATGTGATAGATCTTCATCCAGGTAAATTATGTAGCCACACAGCTAATTAGTCTTTATTGTTTCTTTTCTTATCATGGAGTTTCTGTCAGAATAATTGCAGAGATACTAAAAAGAAATGCTCCTTTAAAAAAGTAGTGATTAAATGTTAAACTACTTAAAATAGTTTAACAACTATTCACAACTCAGCAAAATAAGAGTTTTGTGGGGCTTATGGTTTTTTCTAAACAAAATTTTTGATTAATTTTAATTGGAATTATTGTTATTTCTGTGTTAGTAATTTATCAGGCACAGACCTTCATAAACCGTTACTTGTGATACAAACTACTGAAGTTTAAGTAAATAATATTCCAGTAAATCTAACTTCATAAATATTCCATTCAATCTCACTGGCTGTGAGATGTTTGCACTGATTTGCTCATGTAGCAGGTATATAGATCCCCTGTTATTATATTTCCTTTGTTGACATCATTTCTTTTACTGACACTGCAGTGCTGCTTTCTCTCATAGTTTAGATTGTAGCGTAACTTCCTTCAGCTTTTGGAGAGGGTAGATGAAATGTCATGGTTCTTTCTTAAGGTATTTTTAATTCTAACATTCAAGGAGTCATTTGAGGATTGCTTCAAATGCTTCCCCCTGCTCACTGGATCTTACAGAACACTGAGTATGCATAGGAATTTAGCTATTGGCCATGGGCAGAAGTTTGTGCAATTTTCTTTTTGCTGAGGTTTCTGATAATTAGTAGGTTTCATTGACAGCAGAGTTGTTCTAGTATAGTATTGATAATTATTTGCCCTTTACTTTCTGAACTAAATACTCCTTACTCTTTAATTTATCCTGGCTATAAGGAGGGGCTGGGGAGGATGAACTTTTCTGCCTTACTTCTTAGAGATGCAGAGTAAGGTTTTAAAGCAGAGATGTAACTGACACTTGTCTGTAATATTCCAGTGTTCACCTCTGGGGAGTCTTCAGTTAAGTACACACAGATTTCTACCACTGCTCTAGATGTCTTGGTAGGATAAATGCACATAACACAGAAAGAGGCTGACCTTTTTTTTTTTTTTTGGTACCATTTGTCATTTACTGTAGTATAAGTAGCTGATATATTCTTTAAGATATATATAATATAAAAATTCCTTCTGGCTTATGACAACATTCTCAGCCTGTATCACTAATTGGGCTACTGAGTTCCATAGTTTTTCACCTGTTGTGTAAGATTACTTAGTTTTATTTCCTTCAGATTCCATTCTTAAAGCTTCAAATGCTTCTTTATTGTAGAGTCCTTATTAATTTTGGTGACTATACATTTACTCTATCACCACCTTTCATAATTCTGTAGCTTCCTTCTTTCTTATTTTCCTATGAGAACTCTGCAGTCAGGTGCACTATTTCACAGCAACCAAGTGGTCATTGTTATTTATTGACACCGTCATAAGTTTATTCAGAGTGTAACCACCTCTCACAATCTCTACCTTTATCACACTGATCTAAGTCACCATCATCTCCTGCTTGGATTATTGCAATAGCTTCTAATAATCTTACCGATTCTATCCTGAGATTCTGAGGTGTATTCACAATGCAGCGGCCAGAGTGATCCTTTGACAATGCAAGCCAGATTTTATTATTCCCCTGTTCGAAATCCAGTTGCTCATCTCATTCAGAATAACTAAAGTCCTTGCAATGGCTTAAAAGGCCCTCTCTCCACAGCCTCTTTGCCTACAGACTTCAGGTTCAGCCTCTCTGGCCTCCTTATTGTCTTTTGAACATACCAAAGCGCTCACTCACCAGGGTTCCTGCTCTTCCTGTTATCTCTGCTAGGAATGTTCTTTTCCCAAATACATTCATAGTTTGCTCATTCATTTTCTTAAACTTTCTGATAAGTGAACTTATCAGCAAGAAGTTTCCTACCATCCTAATTTAAAATAGCACTCTCCCTATTGCCCTATTCCTCTTTCTTGCTGTATAGCTCAGGTCTTCTTTAGTCACATCATCACCTGACACCCTATATATTCTCTGTGTATTTATTTTTAATTGTCTCTCTTTCTCTGCCAAAATGTAAATCCATGAGGATAGGATTTTGTTCTTGGCTGTATGCCTAGTGCGCATACTATTTCTTGGCACACAGTAGGTTCTTGATAAATATTTGTTGAAGAGAATGAATTAGTATATAGGAAGTACTTCAGTCCAATAATTTATTCATTCACATATTTTTTTTAACCTCTTAATATTTGCAAGATACTGTACGGGGATAAAAATGTAAAGGCATGATGATTTACAACCTTGAGCAGTTTATTAACTATATGGAGGAAATAGACAAGTGACCAACTCTAAAAAGAGTAAGTAAATGTGGATGTATAGTAAGGGGGGTCATCAGGAAGGTTAGATAGATGAGGTACCATTTTATCTGGATATTGAAGAATTAATAATATTTGGGGAAGTAGAAAATAGGGAAGGATAATTTTTGGCTTTAGCAATGAGATCAGAGTCACAGGATGTTACAAATCTATTTGTCATAGTCTTCTTTGCCTATCTAAAACCCCTCCAGGGTTTTAACTATAATGGTTTTAACTAGAATCATACTGGTAAAGCAATTTAACATTGAATCCCTTTGTTTGTGGTTCCATTAGGTGCATTTGTGAGTACCAGTCCATAGCTCACTCACCATTCCTTGTGTTTGCAAGGACACCAGGTAACTCAGTTACTGTCACATGTAACAACAGTAATAGTGGCTAAAAGGATGCTATTTGATTTTTGTGAAATGCTCAGGTAATATTTGATTTCCCAAATTTATACTTTTCCATAGATGGCATAAATATAATTGTATTAATTTTCTTCTTTTAGGTAACTGGAGAGGGAACAAGCAAAGGCGCCAATGAGTGGAGCCAACTGCTCCGTGGTATCTGAGTTCGTGTTCCTGGGGCTCTCCAATTCCTGGGAGATCCAGCTTCTTCTTTTTTGCTTTTCTTGTATTTTCTATGTGTCAAGTATGATGGGAAACCTCCTCATAGTGGTCACTGTGACCTTTGAGCCTTACTTACAGTCCCCCATGTATTTTCTGTTAGCTAATCTCTCCACCATTGACCTGATATTTTGCTCTATTGCAGCACCCAAGATGATCTGGGATCTTTTCAGGAAACAAAAAATCATCTCCTTTTGGGGCTGTATAGCTCAAGTCTTCTTTAGCCATGCTGTTGGAGGCACTGAGATGGTGCTGCTCATCGCCATGGCCTTTGACAGATATGTGGCCATATGTAAGCCTCTCCACTACTTGACCATCATGAGCCCACGAGTGTGCATTTTGATTTTAGCAGTTGCCTGGACCATTGGTCCCACTCACTCATTGGCCCAGTTGGCTTTTGTGGTAAACCTGCCCTTCTGTGGCCCTAATGTCTTAGACAGCTTTTACTGTGACCTGCCTCGGCTCATCAAACTTGCTTGCACAGATACCTATAAACTGGGGTTCATGGTCACTGCTAACAGTGGGTTCATTTCCTTGGGTGCTTTCTTCTTGCTCCTCCTCTCTTATGTCTTCATCCTGGCCACTCTTCAGAAACACTCTTCAGGGGGTTCACCCAAGGCTCTTTCCACTCTGTCAGCTCATATTATTGTGGTGGTTTTCTTTTTTGGTCCATTGATTTTTTTCTATATGTGGCCTTCTCCTTCAACACATGTAGACAAATTTCTAGCCATATTTGATGCAGTTTTAACTCCTTTTCTAAATCCAGTCATCTACACCTTCAGGAACAGAGAGATGAAGATGGCAATGAGGAGAATGTTCTGTCAGCTTATGCAGTTTAGAAAAAATCACTAAGTGGCTTTATTGAAACACACAACTTCCAAGAGACTACTGATAAATTTCCATCCCTAAAGAGCCAGTTTTCATGAAAAAGGGACCATTTTTCTGAGGTTTTATCTTTTTCTTTCATTTAGAACACATTTCTCTGTTTCTGCATTTTTTTTCTCGACTTTCTGTGTTGATTTCTCTGTATGAAATAAAACAGCCACCCCTCCCAGTCTTGAAGGCTCCTTGCATAGGAGATGAGGCTTATGGTTCAAACCTGCCCTAGCTCTTGGTTGTCTTTCAAATACTTGTGATTTTCTTAGCAGCCTATTTTATATTTTATGGCCCCCAGTAGTTGTGCCAAGACCTGTTAGCGCCCAAAGAGGAGGATCCTAGATTCAGGCTGTTAGGAGGCTAGACCCTTAGGCAGCAGCTTTTAAAGTCTGCAAATTGCTACAGTCCTGAGGGGCCACAGCATAAGCCCCACTGTCCACCAGAGCCCAGAAATCTCGAGGGGTGCCCTGAGTGGCTGTCGCAAAAACTGGGGCTCCAGAGGAGTAAGGTCCTGTCTGGGAGACAGAGGTGAGCTGTAGTGAGGCAGAGAGAGCACAAAGATGCCTATGTTCCCTGGAGCAGGTCCATCAGAGGCCCCTACACTGGGGGCGACACCTGAAGCCGCCCCTCAGGCTGAATCTCCAGGAGGAGGTAATCACAGAAAGCCTGGGGGTGAGTCAGTCAGCTGTCTGTCAGGTGCCCTGGGGGTGGTAGCCAGCCAAGAACTGTCTGTCCAGTTGTTACAGTCCCATTGGGACCCAGGAACGGGAAGACCCCGGGCTACCAGAGCCAGGTGCTCAAGGGGCGCCCCCTGGGCGCAGCTGCACAGACCGCACACCAGCCTCCAATGAGTGCTCCGGCGGCGGGGGAGGGGCTGAGGAGGGGCGGGGCGAGCTCCGGCGTCTGGAGCGCGGCCTGGGCGAGAAGATGGCGCCAGGCTCTGTCCAGGAGGCGCCCGGCAGCCTCCAGACGTGTGTCCAACCAGTTGCCTGCCCCTCAGGCCGAGGCTCCAAGACAAGTAAAACTCAAGTGAGCTTCTCCCACACCGTCTGGGCGGCCCTGGGTCTGCGGTTCCGCGCTGGGCCCCAGGAAGGTGAGTCCGAGCTCCAGCCCTTTAAGAGTGATTCTCAGGTGTTATGTGGCAATGAGCGCCGCTGGTTTGCACAGCTAGACCTTTTGGAGGCTTGTCATTCAGGTGCCTGGTGTGGGGTTCAAACCCTTTGCCCCTCAGCGAGAAGCTCTGGGTTGGGAGCTCCTCAGACTGTGGGGCGGTGCGCCGGCCGTGGGGGAGGGGAGGTCAGGAGGAGGTTGGGCCCCGGCCTCGCCTTACCTGCTTTGTTATGGAGTTGTCTCCTTGGGCTGATGTGTAGGAGCTGCTTAGCCAGTTTTTAGGCCTTTTTCAGAGGAAGTTGTTCCATGTGTAGCTGTAGGTTCGGTGTGTTCACGGGAGGAGGGGAGTTCAGGACCCGCTTACGTCGCCATCTTGAACCAGAACAAGCACCGTCTTTCTACTGTGGTTGGAAATCATCAACAAACAATCTATAAGAGGAACAGAAAAGAGTTTAACGGAGTCAAACTGAGGGCTATAACCTTGAGGCACAGATTCAAGAACATTTCAATTGTGTTCTGCAAACTACAGAAGTTTTTTCTTATAAAGGCAAAAACTGCAGAATTATATAAATTTTTATAAAGAATTAAGATTGAGGCTGGCAAGAAGTAAGTTGCTTGTTAAACAAAGATTGGTTGGAGTCCGAAATAGTTGCAGAGTTACCAGGGGAGATCTTGAGGTTCTAAGGCTGCAGTTGGCAGCTGCTAGCAGATACGGTTTTGAGAGTGGCGAGTGGTGTCCTGGGCTCTGAAACAAATTCACAGAACTCAGGTTCTCAGTAATGCAGGAAAAGTGCCGGGAAATCAAGTTCGCAATGACTACCTGGCTCTATTTGGAATGCCTGGAATATAGTTACTCTATATTAATTTTTAAATGCATTTTTTCTGTAATAGTTAAAAAAGATGTACAGTGCATCTTTTATAAGATACACATAAGCTGTTTTGGTTCACCTAAAGTTCCAGTTAAATCATGTGTAATCCAGAATGAGTTCCCCACACCTCAATGTGTAGAAACTTCTTCTGTCACTGCTGTATGTCACCGAGTGTTCGTGACCTTCATTACCCAGATGATGGGTCTGTTCTCACTGAGGAATGGGTGAGATTCGTCTCTGAATAGAAGGAGGGATTTTTTAACTAAAGGTATAGAAATCAAAGATCTTATTAACCCTTTTCATTTCCCAAATGACGGTGCCAGTAATACATTTCATACATACTAAATAATGATGTAGATAAGTTTGTTTCTCAGGATGAGCATAGTAACTGTTTTCAAGCTATTCTGCCCTGTAGTTGCTACATTTGTTAACATCATGCTTCATTATCTTTTTATATCCCATTATCTCCTTTTTCTCTTCTTCCGCTTTGTTATCTCAGTCTTTTGGTGATGAGCAAAAAGTAGAAAACAGCTATAAACTTTGTTTTCATGCTTTGTGCCATGTGTTGAAGAATGTTCTTGAGTTTATGTTCAGGGAAGCAGATCAGGTTTTGGCAGACTTTTTCTATAAAGGGCCAGATTATAAATAGTTTTGGATTTATTGGCCATATAGTCTGTTGCAGCCATTCAGTTCTGCTGTTGTAGCATTCAAATAGCCATAAACAACATATAAATGAATAGGCATTGCTGAGTTCCAATAATTGTTTGCAAAAACAAGAGGCAGGCCATATTTGGGGTGCCCAACATAGATTTGGCTATTTCCTCAACTATCAGTCTTTATCTTGAAACAAGAATCTAAAATGAAAAAAAAAAAAGAATCTAAAATGAAAGGCAGTATAACATTGCAGTTACAGTTCAGAGATTATAATCCCAACAGCACCGACTCACTTGTTGTTTTATCTTTCCTAAATTACTTAACCTTTCTGAATTATAGTTTCTTCAAAGGCTCCAACAGAACTCACAGGTTTATGGTTATGACTAAGTGAGGTGATGTTTGAAGGGGCTTCAATTTAAAAATTAGCCTAGATTCTTTTCCTGGAATATAATCATTTGCTTGGAGTCTATGAGCTTAAAAATAATTTTTTTAATCTTGAAATACACATTAACTTACCTTCCCTTTGTGCTTTCTCCCCGTCCCTCTCTCTTTCTGTCTCTCTCTCGTTCATACACACACACACACACACACACAAATATCTTGCGATATATCTCCATTATCTTGTCTTTCATAGTACTGTGGTATGTACTTTCATTGCTTTATATCACCTGCCAAATTAAAGATTTAATAGTTTACTTCCTTCTTCAGTTCATTGGTAAAAATAATAATGGCAAATATTATAGAGTACATACTATGTGTCAGGGATTGCTGTTAGCTTTACCTGTATTAACTCATTTAATCCTCATAGCAATCCTTGAGATAGATACTATTATCATCCCAATTTGCAGACTGGAAGATAAATGCATAGAGATTAAATGACTTGTCTAATGTTGATAAATGGTAGATTTGAGCTTAAATCAAGGCATTGTGCTTCGAGAGGCTGGATTTTTAATCATCTTATTTTCCTTGTAAAACTGATTTAATATTGATGCCTGAAGAATCCTAGCTTACCTCTCTTCATTTAGGGCCAATTTGTCTATATTATGTTTCCCCTATTTTTATGTCAGTTCCTTGCTGGTGGTAAAACAATTCTAAATTAAATAAATTATATAATTAAGTGTAATTATATATATACTGCTCAGCTATTATACAGTGAATATTTAATAATATGGAAAATTGCTCAAGATAGATTAATAATTGAAAAAAGTAGTAACAAAACAACATTTAAAACTTGCTCTGTTTTTGAAATACTGTATGCATATAAGCCAAAATGTTAGTAGTCATATTTCTTCCTGGGGATGGGATTTAGGTTTTTTTTTTACTATCCTCTTGCACTTGTCTGCAAGTTGTATGCTTTTTATAACAAAAATATTGTAATAATTAAAGAAGCTACTAAAATAGTCAAGTATATGAAAAAAAAATCTCTTAAACCATGGTGTTTTTCACAGATTTTTGATGTTGAACCTTGACAAAGACATTTTGCCAGACTATGTAAATCATAATCACCTGTGTAATTAACTTGTCTTATAATCGGTGTCTAAAATAATTCTAACAGTCATAAGTTTTAGTCTCAAAAATTGCATTGCTTTCTCCTAGTGTATCTTTGATAAGCCTAGAGCTCATTATATATCTTATCATCCTCTTTTGATAGGAAAACTTAATGGTCCACAGATCCTTTATTCGCTGAATGCTTTTGAGTTGACCTTTGCATTTGGTACCACTGGGGATACTAGGATGCTTTCACATGCAGTTGCTGAACCCTGTAAAAATGCAGATTACAATAGAAATCCTTAATTCTCTAAATAATTCTTGATAAAATATACTTTTGACCTATTGACTCCAGTTTTAGCTTTGGGTATTTGTTGTCGAAAATGAGTGAGACCAGCTGGAGTTGTCACCAAGAATGCCCTGCAGGCTGACTTAGAGGCAAGCACTGAAAGCCAGTCACACAGAAGAGAGTTAAAATCCTCAGCATTTTTTAAAAGTAGTCAAATATTTACATGGGCAACTATGGGAGATTTTGTATGTGTGATCTGTGTGTCTCCTAATGATAACTGATTGTCTATTATATACACAGTAGTGTTCCAGGAGTTATGGATAGATGGTATATAATTATTATAAACTGCCCTTGACTTTGGAAGTTTATAGTCCAAGGGAACTGGGTCTTTGGAGAAGGAAAGATAGTCTATTTTCACTGTAAGTTAGTGGAGGGGAGATAGACGATGAAATGAAGAAAAGACTTCCTTCATGTGAATTTAGCAACAGCTGGAGTAAAGGGAAAGTTGATCTTTTGCTCTTTGATCTATTTATATGGTGCCAACAGATAGATTAACAGCTTCCAGAATCAGAGATATAGCTAAGGGGAAGAGCTCATTAATGAGAATTCACAGAAGAATGTTGTGAAAATCTCTAGATCTGCATATAGCCAAGGTACCTATATTTTTATCCCTTAGTAGTCATTTAATTAAACTTACTATTTGTAGCTTGGAAGTATGAGTTATTATGCTTTAAGCTGGTATGAGCTAACATTTTTAAAACCCTGCCTTATCCATTTGATCAAGGATTTGCAAATTCTCTTCTTAAATGTCTCCACATCAGGTGAAATTCTGAGAGCATATTTAAATAACAAAACGTTTTAATTAGCTATAAGGAGGGAGATTAGGAGCTGAAGAAATTCAAAATTTTCTGAAAGTTTGAATAATTTAAATTTGGGAATTATATTTGTCTTTTTTTCTAAGCTAGGAGATTGGAGATGGCACGAACACTGAAGTTTTTGTGTGAGAATGCCCCATTGCAAGGAGCAATAGTATCAAGCCCTGACAAAAGTGCTTGCTTCTGTGATACCCCCATCCCGCCATAGGACTTTGGAGAAGTTCAAAGAGTTTAGTATGGAATGCCAAAATTAGTTTCTAACATCAAAGAAAGGATATTGGAACGGTATGGATATAAATTACGTGAGGATATCCTATCTGGCATTCCCAGGCTATCCATCTTCTAGCCCCAGATGGTTTCAAGTAGAAACTTGTTTTGATTCTATGTGAGCTCATTCATGATTATAAGGACAAACTTACCACTATTCTAAATCAATACTGCCAGGGAAGTTTTAGAAAAATCACTTAGAAATCCTGTAACAACTTGCCTCATTTTCAAACAAAATAATCCTGACAAAACCCTAAAGATTGGGCACATGTGGACCCACAGTCTCC